GAACAATTCAAGGAAAATAGCACTAGGTAAACGTCTTCCCAAATCCACAAGGGAGATGAGGTCTTCATGATCCTATGATGGGGATCCTTCCCTAGAGGGGGCCTTGAATCCACTAGGGGATCTCTCCAAGAGGAGGCCTTGATCTCCAAGAGGAGGCCTTGATCTCCAAGAGGAGCTTCTCCAAGAGGAGTCCTAGATCTCCAAGAGGAGGAAGATGAGCAAAGCTCTCTCTTTGTCTATCTAATACTTTGCTCCCCTCACAAATGAGCTAGATGAGGAGTAATTATAGGCTAGGGACGAATTGGGAGTAAAACAAGGGTACATGGGTAATTTTCCCCGGGAAACGCGTAGGCACGGTGGAGGGTCCGGGCACCCCGGGGTCACTGGGAGGAGTCGACCGGGCGCCCGGGGGTAAGGGTCCGGGCACCCGGGGTGCGCCATGGAGAGGGGGACCGGGCACCCGGGGTATACAGGGAGGGCTGCGCCCTTGGCCGCCTTTGGTCCGGGCAACCAGGGCTTGACCACCCGGGCACTCAGGGTGGTCAGGGCCAGCGCCTGATCGGGGGCGGGCACCCGGGGCAAATCAGGCCAGGCACCTGGGGCATCCAGGCAGGGGGGTCGGCCGGCTGCCAAGGGACCGGGCACCCGAAGTGTCCAGGGGCCTCCGGTCTTCCTTGTCTGGTCCACTCCTTTCTTCTCCTTCTCCGAGAGACTTCGTGGGTGCTTGAACCTCCCTCCTTGCTTCTTCATGGTCGTCTCCTTGGTACCTAAGAGTGCATAACATCTTCATTTGAGGTAGGACCCAATCTGCATGTGAATCCGAACGAAACTCGAAGAGGAAAGAGTTAACCTCGGTTTCGATGGCACGTGTGCGTGCTCTTGTCATTGGTCCTCTTTGTGCTTGTGGTGGTGACGGGATGTCCATGGGGATCATCGAAGGATGCTCCGCATTACTGGGCCACTGTCATCTTCAAGAGTAACTTTTATACATGCTCTTAATCTATTTCAGGTTTTGTTCACCGCAAAATGCAGTATACAGCCATTGACATTTAGAGCATTGGGCGCAATATTTTCTGAGGCACTGATAGGAAAATCCTTTGTTTCCTTGTAAAATGTCCATTTGTTAGACTTAATGATGTCTTATAAGCACACATGAGGTCCATGCTACTTTCTGGTCATTGACATCCTGGTCCGTAGGCGGTGGCCGCTCCTGTTTTTCCTAGGAGGACCACTGGATCGATGGTCGTTCTATCGCCGACATTGCCTTGCTCATCCATGCCATGGTCTCCAAGCATCACTGCAAATCCTTTGGCGTCCACAACGGCCTCCACCGGCGTGCCTGGATCTCTGAGGGGCTGTTTGGATCGACGCCCTCATGCGCCAAGCCAAAAAATTGGTCGTTGACCCAGCCTGGGCACTCCTTTGGATGGATGCCAAATTATTGGCGCGCCCACGCCTACACAGCAGCCCCAGTTCAATTCTGAGCCAAAGTATTGGCAAGGCGTGGGTGGCGGATTCGAGCCAACGTTTGGCATGGCGAGCAATGGCTCAATCCAAACAGCCCCTGAAATCCAGGGCACCCTGGCCACCACCCAATACTTTATTCTTTGGCGCCGCCTTCACTTGGCTATCCTCAACGATGAGCCTAACATCTTGAGATAGCGTTGGACTGACAATAGCCGTACACCGCCAAATCATGCTACCAGGCCCTCTTCACGTGCACGGTCACCGATCACCATTGGCGTCTAAATTGGAAACTGTGGGAGGACGGCCTGCTTATCGAATTCTTCCTCTGGCTTTCCCTGCTCGGCAGACATTGGACAGAAGATCACCTCGCTCTGCATGCCCTCCCACGTGACAACATATGCCCTCTATGCGACCAGGAGCCTAAGACAATGCAACACCTTTTCGTTGGATGCTCTTTCTCTCGGCAAGTTTGACACGAAGTGCTTGCTTCTTGTCGCCTTACTGTCAATCCCCTGAGGTGCGGCGATGACTTTACGACATGGCTCACCTCTAAGAGCAACTCCAACAGACGCGCGGTAGCGCGGCGCGCTAAAAAAGTTTTGCAGCATTGAAATAGTGTTTTTGGCGCGGGAGCTACCAGACGCACAAAAACACAACGCCCAACCCCAACAGCCCCACATGCAGCAGCACGCGCACACAAGCCGGCACCCTAAATTTGCTGCCCTGCAGCCCGTGTGCGCTATTTTACAACTTCGGCTGGAGCGCTAATTTTGGTCGCACGCGCTATATAGGCGTATTTTCCTAACACGCAGCTTATGTAGCCCGTGTGTTGGAGATGCTCTAACATCTCCACCTCGACCGGCTGCTTTTGCCAGGTTATTATTGCCTCCCTCGCCATTCTCACCGTCTGGACAATCTGGACAACAGAACGGCTATGTCTTCAACAAGGCGTGACCCTCTGTCGCGCACACGGTGCACGCCATTCAAGACGACGCTGGGCACACGCCGGTGGCAAAGGTTTAGCAATCCTTGTCCCGGAGGCGTAGGCCATCGTGTATTGGGGTAGCGCAGCCCCTAGAGTCCTTGCGCACCGGCAACTCGCTCAGGCCAGCCAAGATGCTTGCAAGTTGCTTCTGTACCCTGTACCATGTATTCTACACTCCTGTCAACAAAAAGATACGCTAAGATTTTTCGTATTCGCGGATTTTTTTTTTTTTGGCAGTTTACAGTAGGTAGACAGACCCTCTTCGATCAGTACATGCATATATACAAACAATCAGTGGCGGAGTTATATGTCGCCGCTGCACACAATCACAGCACACCGCATCACATCATTTTGATCTATTTTCTACAAGTTCTTCACTAAACGCCCACAGCCTCTTGGCCAGCTCTGCATCTCTTGCGACGGACGTCGGCGTCGCCTCGTTGCAACCAGCGAAGTATTTGCCGGACACACCCTTGGTATCAGGATGCAAAGCCACATAACAGGTAGTTGCAGCTCCCTGAACAACAAATTAGTCTTGTCAGGCGAAAATCTTGTTATCATTTTAGCTTTCATAGAAAAATGTCTTCTTGGGAGACATTGATGCTGATGGCCATGTATTTTGGAATGAGAGATATGCTTGATCTTCTTGTAAGAGATTGACACTGACGGCCATGTTTCGATTACCTGGGGTATATCCTTCACAAAAGGCTTGACCAGCGAGAAAATCGAGGCCAGCACACCTGCAGAACATTCAGTTTAAGGCTTGGGGTACTGCTTAAGTGTATTGGGCAGAACAGTTTCCTTCGGAATCAATGTGTTATGTTTTCAGTGATATTACTGTTTGTCGTGATGTAGCGAACGATGTTGGTTCCGATGATTCCAGGGTGCAGCGAATTTGCAGTCAGATCACATCCTTCTTCCTGGATTTCCACCAAACAACCTTTAGTCCTTTAAGGCCTGGCACAATGTGTATTACCTTACTGTGCATCATGTTGTTTCATCAGCTCAGAACAAAATAACAACATTATTTTGCAAGTGCATCCGCTTAGAGCCTTAGACTACTCGAAATCATTGTCAGGTTTCAGCTGATGCTTTGTTCTAGGCTAAACTCATGATGAATAATAGGGACGTAACGTGTAAGAGATCTCAGACCTGGAAACGCCTGGATAGCTCATTTGCATGGAGAATATTTGCTAATTTGGAGTGTGCGTATGCACTAAATGCATTGTACCTGTACATTTTTCAATACGTTAGAAGGAACTTCAGCTAGATCTTATGTTGAATTCAGGCAAACAAAATCAGTAAAGAATAGCATATTGCTGACTTGGACTCGTTGTTCAGCTTGTTCAGATCAAAGCCTTTGCCATCACTCCTTCTATGAGCTGTTGAAGCTAGGTTTACGATCCTGCCCTGCATACCGGTCTCCTTGGCAGTTGATTTCATCTTGTCAAGTAGAAGATTTGTCAGCAAGAAATGGCCTGCTCGCAAGGTGAAAAATTCAAAAGGTGTTTGAATATGCCTGAACTACTGAACATCTCATATCAACGCAGCATCAGCAATAGCAGATATTCTGATGTTTACATGAATGACTGTTGATGGGTGACAGTGTACGATCAAAGGCATCTATCACGACGGTCTTGACACTAGTGACGAACTTGTACAACTCTTATTTATAACATAAGGGAATGTAACTGCACAATACATACCAAGATGATTCGTTGTGAATTGTAGCTCAATGCCATCTTTGGATAGCTGGAAAGGGCAGGCCATTATCCCTGCATTGTTTCTTCAGAGAAGGCCAGAATAAATAACCCAGTCAGCGTGTTTACTAGTACCAACCAAACTTTGTGCCTCTTTTGAATATTTGATGATGCCTAATTACAATGACATACATGAGGGCGTTCAGATGCTTATGGGAGGAGTTGAAGGAGCCCGCGAAGCTGCGAACAGAGTCGAGGGAGCTCAGATCCATCTCCATGACATGTAGCTTTGAGCTCGGGACCTCTTCAGCGAGGCTCTCTTTCACCTTCATCCCACTCTCGAGCGTCCTTGCTGGTATGATCACGTTTGCTCCCCTCAGTGCAAGAACTCTGGCCGTCTCCTTGCCAATGCCATTTGTTGCTCCTGCATATGACAATCAATAGTGCAGAATCATCAGTCTGCCTCATGTATTGTACTGTACTCTGAATGAGCATAAATGTGCTTGAAATTGTCTTTTAATCATGATAACTGAACAATTCCCTTATTTTTTACTCGCGTTGCAGAGATTGTACATTCATCAAAAATAATAGTACAAGTAGCTCCAATAATTACAGATTCCAAATGCAAATAATCCCATTAATGATATTTTGCGCTTTTTAATCACCAATTTGTTAATTAATCAGCACACTGTCAGCAAGCGATGAGACTCGGCATCCAGCCACTACTAGCAGTAGCACACAAGGGACAAGCAGAGTCGTAAAAAATGCTGCAGCAGAAGCACGTACCTGTGACGATGGCTGTGAGATGGCTGGCGTCGATGCCGGCGGCGATGTCCTCAGCGGTGGACGCGGATCCGAAGCCCGAGAGCCCACGCCGCCCCCACGGCCAGCCCCAGATCCCCATCGCCGTTGCTGCCGCCGCCAGCCACCACCTCCGCTAGGCGGTATGTTTCGACACTAAGCTACGTTGGCCTCTCCTCTCCAGCAGCAGATTAGAAGGATTGCGGCGGAGGATCGTCGACCGTGCTATATTTTCCTGCAATCTGAGCAGGCTAATTTCGCACGAATCTTGATGTGGTACTATACACTCTGATTATTTATATTTGTTTATTTTGCGAAAAGAACGTGGATCGGCAGTACTCTGCACCGGCGCACCGGCGGAACGTTTCGGCCGGTCCAACCAGAGCCACTCGATCTGGACATGCGTAACCGTCAGATCTGCCCCACATCTCCTATCATCATCCTCCCCCATGGGAAAAAAGAGGAGACACAAAAAGCAAACGCCACCGCCGCTCGCGGGATCCCGCACTCTTGCATGCGCTTCTCTTGCTTGGACCGCCGCTGCCCCTGCTCGTCGCCGGCGCTCGCAGCCTCGCCGCCGCCGGCGAACCAAAACACCACCCGCCTTCATCGCCGACACCGAAGTGAAAAATGCCGGTTCCAGCAAAATCAAAATACGATGGTAGCAAAATTTTAGGATGGTTCCAGCAAAAACAAAGGATGGTAGCAAAAACTCTTGATGTTTCCATGAATTCCATGAAGACTCTGGTAGTAGCAAAAACTCCGGTGGTAGCAAATGGCATCTTCGGTAGTAGCAAAAATCCGAGACGGTTGTAGCAAAAAAAAAACTATCGCTGCCGTTGAGCAACACCGCCGTGGGTGGATGTAGCAGAAAATGTCTTCAGTTCCAGCAAAATCAAAATATGGTTGTAGCAAAAAAGACTGGAAAAACAGAAGATGTATGTAGCAAAAATCGACAAACACCGGTAGTAACAAAAAATCAAAACGGTTGTAGCAAAATGGTTCATCGGTTGCAGCGAAAATCACCTGGTAGCAAAAATTTGGGCGGGGGGTGGTAGCAAAAAGCATGGGCCAGTTCCAGCAAAAACAAAACATGGTTGTAGCAGAAAAATAAGCAAGTTCCAACAAAAAATGAAGCTGGTTCCAGCACCCGACAAAGCCGGTAGTAGCATCGGAGATCGCTGGTTCCAGCACTTGCCGCAAATGGGGTTGCAGCTTGCTGTCGCGCTGGTTCCAGCATCGATGCAGCCGGTGGTAGCACCAGGACTCGCTGGTTTCAGCACCAGATGCAGACCGTTGCAGCTTGGGTCGAAGCTGCCGATCGACGCTAGAGAAGTCCGTCGCAGCTCGGCCACCAGAGGTCCAGCACCCCCCGCTGCCCGTCGCAGCACGGCGCTCGGGGTCCCGCAGCTAGCACGACTTCAGGTGGAAGGAGGGGAGAGGTGGGGAGCGCCCATGGCGAAGGAGGCGGAAGGAGAGGGAGAGGTAGGCAACGTCAATGGGGAGGGGAGGTGGAAGAAGGAGAGGGAGGCAGGAGCAGCGGCGTGGGCAGGACAGGAAGAAAAGGGATAAGAAAGCAGGGCGGTGTGCGGCCAGCAGACGCGCTGAAGAGGATAAGGGAGCAGGGCGGTGTGCGGGGCCCTCGTGGGGATGACGTGTCCCTTCCTGCGTTAGCGCTACGCGCGGTGTGAGCGAGTCGACCGGCCGAAGTTTGGGCCGGTGCGCCGGGTACAAACGTTTCCCATAACCAAATGCCTCAAAAAGAAAACAAAGAAGCTCCCTCAAAAAAGAATATTACTCTTTATAGTGATCTAAAACATCTTATCTTTTTTTTGCGGGTGAAAAAACATCTTATCTTTGTTTACAGAGTGAGTACATCAAACTTCCTAAGGATCGGCCATTTTCATCATTCCAAAGGGGTCGATGGCACGCTGCCGTACATCACTCCATTGTAGTCGACATCTTGTCGCTGTTGATCACAGACAAGAAGTCATGAAGGACACGGGACTCCCTCACTGTTGCAAGAGTTGCAGATCCAAGAGCCAAGACTCCATTGTTTCTCGCATGCATCATGTCAGCGCCAGAGGTCACACCAACATGACGGAGGCAGGGCTGCGGGATAAAAGGAAGTCGTGTGAAGACTTCCCGACTGCCATTGACAAGGTAAAGCCGGCTCCGGTAAAGGAGCGGCAACAACAGCGCGCCGGTGGCTCGTTCGGTGCTCTCGGCGGCTCGTTTGATGGTCTCAAAAACTCTGTGTAATTTTTATAATGTTTAAGATGTTTTGTACTTTCGATAAACTTTTATAATAGATATTATACTTTTCGCGAAAAAGGAAGTTGTTTCACAAGCCAAGAAACCTGCAGATCATAACCTCACCACCCAGAATGATCAGTAAGGAAATACACCGTCGAGCCATCGATTTCGCCGTCGATGGCTCCATCAAAATGGAGAGACTTGAAGGAACTTATTCGTTGGACCGGCTTCATCGTCGCCATCATCAACGCATTGTTAGAGGATACTTTACTTAGTGTCGCCGCCACCACCATCAAAAGGGTAAAAAATAACATTTATCAGAAACTTACCTAAAATTCGTAAGTTGGAAAAACTATGACTCCATGCGGTATATCAGGGCCTTCGCACATTCTCACACTGGGGGAGCCAGTGGATGAGGATGGGGCGTCTACCTACTTGAAAAGAGAAGGCGATGGTGCGGTGCACCGAGAGATCAACTTTCCTTGGGTTTGAAGAGAAACAGTTGAAATGAATACAAAGAAAAGGTACAAGATCTTGTATGGTTGTGTCTTCTGGTGTTTTTTATAATAAAGTATCTTGTGTGGCTATGTGAATATCATTAGGTACCCGGCTGTAGTTTCTTCTATGTTTTTTATTTTTATTTTACCCACAATTTTTTTTTCAAAATGAAAAACAAAAAATGAAAAGCAAAAAGAAATGGTTCTAATCGAATATAAATTTGCTTTTATTTTCAAAATGAAGAACATAAGAACCAACCTGTGGTTGGATGGTTAGAGGGACAGTGGTATCCCCAGTTCACCGGAGTTCAAATCCTAGTGCTCGCATTATTCTTGAATTTATTTCAGAATTTTTGGCGATGCGATTTAAGTGGGAGGAGACGTCCCGTCGACGAGGAGACGCCTATGATGACTTCATAAATCTCAAGATGATATGTCGGCTCAGTCTCTCGAAGGTGCTCATAGGGTGTGTGCGCGTGCGTTCACATGGATGAATGTATGCGCATATATATGAACGCTTACGTCTGTACTGTGTTAAAAAAATGAAAAACATAAAACGAAAGCAAAAAAGAAATATTTCTATTCTAATAGAAAGCACAAGAGCGTGCATAAAACGTACAAGAAACAGTTGAAAGAAATACAAAGAAAATGTACAAGATCCTGTATGGTTGTGCCTTCCGGTGTTTTTTTATAAGAAAGCATCTTGTGTTGGTCTGTGAATATCATTAGGTACCTGGCCATAGTTTTTCTATGTTTTTTATTTTTATTCTACCCATAAAACTTTTCTTTCCTTTCAAAATGAAGAACAAAAAATGTAAAACAAAAAAAATAGTTCTAATTTAATATAAATTTGCTTTCATTCTCGAAATGAAGAACATAAGAATCAACATGTGGTTGGATGGTTAGAGGGACAATGGTATCCCCAGCCACCAGGGTTCAAAACCTAGTGCTCGCATTATTTTTGGAATTATTTCAGAATTTACGGCGACGTGATTTAAGTGGGAGGGACGTTTCTTTCGAAGGTCCTCATAGGGATATGGTGTGCGCGTATGCATTCATATAGGTGAGTGTATACGCGTATGTATGAGCGCTTGCGTCTGTACTGTGTTAAAAAATGAAGAACATAAAATGAAAACAAAAAACTGTGTTAAAAAAGAAATGAAGAACATAAAATGAAAACAAAAAAGATTATTCTATTCTAGTAATCGAAAGCATAAAAAAAACGAAGCACGCCCGGTGGGACTCGAACCCACAATCGCTTGATTAGAAGTCAAACGCCTTATCCATTAGGCCACGGGCGCTGCTGTGATGTACTTTCCATTCGTACCTATTTGTTACTTGCTTATCACGCGGCTCGTCCAGGTCCATGGTTCTTGTGTGGCGAACTGGCGATGCTGGTGTCCCCCCCTCCCCCAGTGTGCTGTATGCCTGTATCTACCATCTGTTCCTTGGACCTGTCCATGTTCTTTTTCCGTTTTAACTAGTGATGATGGTTCTTTCTGCCTGCCTGTCACGTACTGCGTATTTGCTTGGTCGGCCGAGTGTGCTTGATGTAGCAACATGGTATCGGATGTTCAAAGTTCTGATAACCAAGCAGAAACTATGTGCTGACTCGAGTGCCCTTTTAGGTAAATACTACTAGAGCTGTACGCATATATGCGCATGTATTAGCTACACAAGGACTCAAGGTTTGATACCAGGCCTACAAAACCACAAGGATAAACCTTGATACCAAATTATTTTACGTGTTTCAAAAATATTGCAAGATCAGCAGTATATACTCTCATTTGCAGAAGCAAACACTGTACAAGGCAGGAACCAAAACTGCTGTGAATCCAGCAAATGAAAGCCTTTTAGATAACTTCTATTGGCCGTTGCCATTGAGAGTTTAAGCAGCTGTGGGAGGCTACACATACAGTTATCACGAATTCCTGAGAATTACAGTAGCGGCACGTTCACATAACAGGGGCTTGGCTTCTAAATGTGCTTCAAGGTTTACGACAATAGCTGGACAGCTGCGATTTTCGGGATCTTTTCTCGGAGCTTCTGAGTGAGGGCCACTCGGACAGTCATCACGCCAGCAGCTGGGCCTGTGAGCCTGACCTTCACGATAGGTTCCTCGATTGAAACAAACTCAAGCTCACCACCCCCTGTGCCAGAAAGGTATGGCCTGATCTCGTCAAGAACCTGATTGTCAGTGAAAGCAAGTCAGCAGCTGGTCACTCCAAACAATCCTGCCTATACATAAGTTTAGTGAAACAGGAAATTCAGATAAAGATACTTTATGAAGGGAGCCTATACTGTTCATAGCAAAAAGGAAAATGGCATAGGTTAGAATATTTCACTGCTT